ATATAGTATCTGATTATAGAAAGAATGCCATCTTAGAAATGTTTTTCACTATACTATTATAGTATTTATTATATGGTACTGGAAGTTCAACTTATCAATGAGAACACCAAATAATTTACCATCTACATTGTTACTAATCTGGATATTGTTAATTCTTAGGGAAATTTGATTAGTGGATTTATTACCAAACAAAATATAGTTATGTGAAGCACAGACTTTAAAATTAATATATGATGCATGTAATATAAGAATTAATTTCTCAGTTCAAATGCAGTATGAAATTTTGAACTTGTTCAAAAGAATCGGAAGTGTGACTTACCAATCATGAGAGGCACTTGTGGCATGGACGGGAGAAAGGGAACAATGACACCATCAGCCAAAAGCCATGGGCGGCCTTGAGGGCGCCGCCATTCTAAGGGTGGTGCCTCCATCACAGTGCGTGCCGAGATCGTCTCAAAACAAATTACAGTAGAACAATTCAGCGACTCCACCAATTCGGGGTCTGCTTCACGCCAGGTATTCTCTGGATGCAAAGGTACAGAGCCTGTTAGCCAGGCAGACTGAATTACCCTGTGGCCTTGAGGTGATGAAATAAGTGGCCATGCCATTGCAGCTCCTGCCTCGTGTCCTAAAAGTGTCACCTGCTCTGGGTCACCACCAAAGTGTTCTACATTGCGTTGCACCCAGGTCAATGCTGTCAATAGGTCAGATACGCCCTGATTTCCTGCAGTATGAGGGTAGGTTGAGGCTGCAAGCTTTGGATGAGGGAAAAAACCAAGGAGGCCGCGTCGAACCTGTGGAGCCAAAATGACTACACGTTTGCCTTTGACGAGGCCTGATGCTTTACTAAGTAGCCAGGGACTCCGTGTGTCAGTGCCCAGACCAGATCCTCCTATGTACACTATTACAGGGAGTGGAGAGTCGTAACCAAGCTGGGGTGTGAACACATCCATCAGTAAACAGTCTTCAAAGCCATCTACCACGGCTCCCTGGAAAATGTATACACTTTAAAATGTATAATAATTCATTGTATTGGGGGACAGGAAGCCAGACTGTAAATATGATGATGATGTAATTGTAACCAACAAAATAATCCTTATTATTTTCCTCTTTAAGTTTGCTAATCATTCAAGCGGCATGAGCCTCCTATTTTCAGATTTATTTTAATATTAATTGGAAATTAAATAATTTTTTTTTTTTTTTTTTTTTTTTTTTAGATATATACAAGAGTTGTTACATTCTTGTACAGCCACTAGTACGCGTAGCGTTTCGGGCAAGTCCTTAATCCTACGGTCCCTGGAATACGATCCCCTGCCGCGAAGAATCGTTTTTTCATCCAAGTACACATTTTACTGTTGCGTTAAACAGAGGCTACAGTTAAGGAATTGCGCCCAGTAAATCCTCCCCGGCCAGGATACGAACCCATGACATAGCGCTCGCGGAACGCCAGGCGAGTGTCTTACCACTACACCACGGAGACTGCCAAATTTTAGTTTAAAATTTTTTATGTAAGCGTAGGAATTTGTTGGTGTTCTTATACAACTATTCTCGTTACTAGGCCTTCCCACATCTATTTTGCTTTTCTGTGGGGGAGCCCCTTTGGCTCCCTGGAGCTTATCGGACTAATGTATGTTATATTAGACCGGGACATCAGCTATGGAGTTCAGACCTACCAGAGACCAGCACCAGAACGTGGCCCCTTCAGATAGCTTTCAGGGAGCAATGGCCCTGGAAAACCACTCCCTTGTGGTTGGGGGTTTTCCTTATCTGCCATCGATCGGGGTTAGGCACCCAGAAAGGTAGGCATAACAAAACAAACCCCAAACCGCGAGGCAGAACGTAAGCAGCCCCGACAAGGCCCCTCCGAGCCCAGGAAAAGGCGGAGCCACGGGAAGATCTCGGGCGCGACCACCGAAACCCAGGCGGCACAAGGAGATGGAACGTCTGCCGAACAGAAAAACTCCCCAAAGCAAGCAAGCCCGCCAGGAGTTCAAAAACGACGGGTCCAATGCGAGACATTGCAAGACCCTGAAAAACCAACCTGCAGGGCTAGCTAGGAAACCTAAGAAGGTGGAAGGGTTGCCGCCAGAACAGTACCCGAACCAAGGGGTACGAGCAACTGCAACAGACCGAGACAAAGAAGCACACCACAGGATACAGGCCAAAAAAACGCCCAAGAAGCCAAGGAACACACACCGAACACCCCTGCGGCAGAGGAGGAAACAAGGGAACGCACAAGGAAATGAAGCGGTGGAAACCGACCAAAGGAGATGCCAGGAAAACGACTGGGGAGAGGCAGGATGAAAGAGCTGAAGCACAAAAACCCCAGGAAAACAACCAGGGGTGGACAATCAGGCAGGGACCCAGCAGGCCCAGAAACCTGCACACCAGGCGACTGACGGCAGAGAACCCCGCTCGATACCTGCTGGATGGGGTACTGGAAGCTCATTTACACCCCAAGCCCGGCCCGAGGCTAGGCTAGACCGGCCAGAGGGTGGCCCACCAGGCAACTGCTTGGAGCGGCTCGCAGGCCCACATACCCCCCACAACCAGGATGGGCCGGAACTTCTAGTCGAAAACAGGCTAGTGTGCCCTGGAAGTCCATGGACGTACCGGCAATATGGCGTATGCTCGCAAGTAGGTCGTGTAACAACCACAGACCTCTGATGGTTATACAGTGTTCCCAGATTGTGCCTATAGCACCACTGCACTCCACTGGTACTATCCCGCAAGTTCCAGATAAGCGGGACCCAAGAGCCAGAGCTCAAACTCTGCAAGCACAACCAGGAGAGCCCTACCAGGTGAATACATAACCAGCACCACAGCCCACACACTTCATAACACGAAAAAAGGTGGGTCCCCGGAATGACTCTAACATGGGTTGGACAAGCACATGAGTGGGACTGGAAGGGTTGAAAAAGGGACAGTCACTGGTGTGCGAACGGTCTCAGTCGTACAAAAATATACCTAAATAAAGACAGGTATATAAACATCTCCGCATCCAGCGCCCGGCCAAAAGACGCCAGACCGCAGAAACTCACCTGTCGAACGGAGGCACGAACGTGACACGACTCAACCGTGCCCAGAAGATCCTGGGAGCACCGCCAGGTGAAGAAGCCAGAGCCGGGCTCGCAGGAGAGCAGGGTAGAGGCGAAGGAGGCGGCCCACGCCCATGACACAGGGAAAACCTCGGTGTCCTCCCCACAGCTGGAAACCAGGACACCCCCGGAGTGAAGGGGCACATACCGCAGCAAGGGAGAAGAGCGAGAGGCGAAGCACCTGAGAAAAAAGGGCGCAAAACACCAGCACTGAAACACACCGCCCAAATCAAAACAAACTCCACGGCGCATGCGCATGACACGCTGGCCGAACCACACAACCCTCTCTGCTGGAAGGCGCCAACCAGGACTACTGCACTAGAAAAGTAGCCAAAAGAGGAAGCAGGAACAACAAAACCGGCCAACGAAGCGAAGACAGAGCCCACAGGTAGCCCAACCGGGCCACTGGCCACAAGCAGCCCAACCGGGCTACAAGTAGCACAAAACGGCGACCCGGACGAGGAGCCAACAGACGTTCCAATAATGTGGGAAGTAGTGAAAACCTTCCCGAACCCTCGAGAACACAGAAGCCAACACTAGTCCCGAAAGCACACAAAGGCACAGGCGCACCCGAGACCAGAAGTCACGTAGAACCCCAAGAACAGGGAAACATGACGAAGACACCGTCCCAAAAATGGGGGGGAAGCATCTACCCACAGGACGGAACCAACCGACTCAAAAGACCAAGGAACCGAGCCCTGGGAGGGGCCGACGCCCAACAGCACGTACGGCGAGTGGGGAGGAAAGACCCCACTCCGTGTAACCACAAGCCCCGCCTAGAGGGGGAGAAAAAAACCCCACGGGGTCCTACGGGGCCAAGGGCCCCCCAAGTCAGCCCCTCCCCAGCCCCGGGAACCAACACGACAGGCCCCAGGGCCGAGCCGTTCCCCCAAAGCCCCGGCCATACCGGAAAACCGGGGCAGCCGCAAAAACACTAAGGAAGGGAGCCCACTGGCAGACTCTTACAACACGGCTAGAGGAACAGGCTCAATGCCCCCGTCATTACCCCGGAAAGGGAATTCCCCGAGACTGCCAGAGTCTCAACACCATCAAACCCTGCCCCGATCCTACAGACGGTAAGGAACCGGATGCAGGCAGGAAAGGGGATCCAGGGGAAAGACAAGGGGGCGTGGAAGGAACCGAAGCAACCAACACCCCCAAGTCTAAACACGAACCAAAACGGGGCAGCCCCGGGGCTCCCGGGGAGGAAACCACGAGAGCATTGCCACCACCAAGGCTCAAAGTGCAACGCCCTTGCTGCCCGCACCCGCTTAGTCAGCACAACTGGGTAACCGAGCCACAACGAGCAACAAAACTCGCAGGACTCTGGGTCGAAGGTGTCACCGACCCCACAGGCAGCAGACGGAGGCAAAACAGAGAGCCACCCAGAGACAAAGGGTGAGAGCAACCCTTAAACTTGCTGGAAGCGAGGGGGGACTCTGGGGTCACATCCATCGGACCCACGTGCCCCCAGGGGTTTCCCAGGGTCCCAAGCGTTTACTATAAGAGGACTCGCGCTCAGGTAATCCCAGGCAGGGTACTGCTAACCAGCACCCAAAGCTACCAAACAACTTTCTAAGAGTTGAACCACTGGGACGTGTACACTCACAGGGACCTAGAAGGGGGTACCACCAGAAAATACTCAGAACACAAGGGACACAAGGGGCAAGAACTAAGGCAGACCCCCACCAAGTAGATAAACAAAAAGAAAAAAGAGAACTCCCGCAAGAGGACAGCGTACCCAAGCGGAACAGAGCCGGCCGCTATGATTGGTAAAGACAAGCTGCACAGTACCCTGCGCCCCACCAGTGCAAAACTGCTCCTTACCCTAAGGCGAACAAGGGAGACAGAATACCCGAGCACACAAAGAGCAGTCGAAAACCAAGCAGTAAACGGCCTAGCAGGGGCAGGACCCAAGCCCCAAGGGCAATACTTACAGGGCACCTAGGGAAGGGAACCCTAGGCGCATGCAGCCCGAGTACTGGAGAGACACTCCCAGCTCACGCACCACCTAGAAGACAGACACCACACTCTAGGTACAGTGCTGAAACAACTACTGGAGCCAGAGCACATAACTGGTGCCTATAGCATCAGCCGAAGAACTGATGGGTGGATAGCCGGCGTGGGAGGTCTGGGGCTCCCCCTTCCCCCTCCTGGGGAGGGGGGAGCTGCGCAGACAGCGGCGCGGTGACGTGTGACGTCATACTAGTTTGCTTGTTTTCTGTTGGGGAGTTCTATCCACTAGTACGGCTTTAGGTAGCAATTTTAACCAGAATAGGGGTGTGTTTTGGAATGCTTACCTTTCTGGATGCTTGACCCGGTCGATGGCAGACATAGAATGCTTCCAACCACACACGGGTTTCTATAGGCCATTGCTCCCCTTGCCTTTCTGAGGGGGCCAGGTTCTGGCCGTGGTCCCCGGTAGGCCCTAGAACTCCATACACATGACTGATGCCAAAGTCTGACATTAGCATATCAGCCTGGTAAAGCTCCGGGGAGCCAACGGGGCTCCCCCCAGAAAATTACGTTTTGATGAAGTCTCGGAGATGATTCCTTGAAATGAGCGAGAGATAAAGGCCTCATAAACCACAGGTTTGCTATTAAACCTGGCCATTACCTGTCCTTGTCCACCTGGGACAGTGGTCAACACTTATATACACCACAAATATATATGCAATATAACAATTACACTTTCTTACCACTGGTCTTTCTTAGATGTTATTTGAAGATAATTATGGAAGAACTTTTGTTTGTCAGATCTGCCATGGACTCCAAATATTTTCTCCTCATTCCCTTGCCCAGTTTCTTGCACTGCCCTACATCAAACTCTTTAAACCCCCTTTCTTCTGGTTATTCTTTATTAATTCTTCTTATTCTGACTTATCCAACTTCTGGTTCTCTTAGAGTTGCATTTTCTTCTCGGAGAGATTATGGTCATCATCTCATACATTTTTAAGCTCACAAAGAAAATATCCACCAAAAGTATCAAGGGAAATGAGTGAGATAGAAAAAAATATTTGGACAAGGTTATATTGAAGCTGTACTGTCATGGTCACCTCTACATGAGAATTTGCCTAAGAGATACTAGGCATCAAACACACAAAACATTGACATTATTTAATCTGAATCATACCTGACTATCATAGCTCCAACATGGCCGAGTTACATTAGCCACATATGTTCCAGTCCAGCAATCATTCACATTAGTGTGGAGTTGTGCTGCACGAAATCGCAACTTTCCCACAGGAGGCACAGCATACGGCAACCCACGGAACACATAGGCACCATTCTCTATAATCCTGGAAAAAATCTACTTATATATCTTACTGTGCCAAAATTTTAACTGTATAATTATATATAATATGTTTTTATGTTACATTTTTTACATTCCTAAAAGCTATCCAAGATTTTGCAAGAAACAGTCTGAATGAAAACTGGATCTGTTCCTGACACCAAAATATAGTACTGTACCTTAAAAAACCAGCGTTGAATGTAATGAAACGCCATTTTCTGGGTGAGACCCGGAGGCTCCCCCAGAGCTTACTAGGCTGATATGCTAATGTCAGACTTTGGCATCAGTCATGTGTATGGAGTTCTGTGGGCCTACCGGGGACCACGAGCCAGAACCTGGCCCAATCAGAGAGGCATGGGGGAGCAATAGACACCCCCCGTGTGGTTGGAAGCATTCTATGTCTGCCATCGACCGGGTCAGGCATCCAGAAAGGTGAGCATCCCAAAACAAACCCCTATTCTGGTGAAAATATTGCTACCAAAGCCAAACAACTGGATATAACTCCTCTAAAAGAAACGAGCATGACATCACACATTGCTGCGCAGCTGTCTGCGCAGCTCCACCCTCCCCGGGAGGGGAAGGGGGGAGCTCCAGACCCGCGGCTCTGCCAGCGCCGTAGAATACGAGGCGACAGTATGGGACAGGATAACTGCACCGAACCTCCACAAGTGAAGGACAAAACCACGCCAACCAACACAGCTACCAAAGAAGGGACAGAAGGAAAAGGAAGGACCGCCAAAAAAAAGCCAACACTGCCACCAAGAAGAAGCACACAGGTGGGATACCGTGAATGAAACCACCCGACCACCAATAGAAAGTGAGAGACTCGAGGCAGAACTGAACCAGCCCCGTCATGGGCCAATCGTGCCTAGGAAGAGGCAGAGCCGCGAGAAGATCTCTGGTCCCAGTCGTTTGTGTGTGGCTTTGGGTTGCAGGTTACAGCCAGTTGTCTGGACTTCGAGTTGGTGTGTGAGTGGTGGCCGCCTCCCAAGTTGGTCCCTCTTTCACTTGTTTTTGGTTGGATATTTCCAGGGAACCTACGGGGCTCCCCACAGTAAACCAGCATTGAATGCAATGTAACGCCATTTTCTGGATGAGGCCCAGAAGCTCCCTGGCATCCTCCCTCCCTCCCTCCCTCCAGTCGGTGGTTTGCATTTTGTTTTTGATGCTCGGCCTCCAAAACTGGAGGTGTGAATAGCCAGCGCTGGGGGTTTGGGGCTCCCCCCTCCCGGGGAGGGGAGGGCTGCACAGACAAGCGGTGCAGCAGCCGTGAATGACCTTAGCATGTTTCCTCATGTTTTTTGGGGAGTTTTCTCTCTCTTCAGTCTTTGGTTGCAATTTCTTTCCATGTAGGGAGTTTGTTTTGTTGTGCCTACCTTTCTGGGTGCCTAACACCTATCGATGGGAGACATTATGCTCCCAAACACATAAGGGTTCCCATAGGCCATTGCTCCTTGTGCAATGGCCCTGAGGGGGGGGCCAGGTTCTGGCTCATGGTCCCTGATAGGCAGAATTTCAATTGACTAATGCCCCAGACTAATAAAGCGTATATCAGTCTGATTGCTCCAGGGAGCCTTAAGGGTTCACCCAGAAAATGGCTTTTCATTACATTCATTGCTGGTTTTTTACTGTCGCTCCCATTGTGCAACTTTTAATGAATGACAGATTCTGACTGCACGGTCTTTTTCTTCATCTATCTGTTGTTGGGTAGTGCTGTCAATTTGGTAGTTGTGATGTGGATTGTAGTGCCCCACATGCAAGGTCTTGCATTTATTGACATTAAAAAGCATTTACCAGTCATCTGACCACTTGTGAAGTTCATGTAGATCTCAATATCACCTTCACTTCTCACTTTGCCATAGATTTTAATGTCATCTGCAAATTTGATGATGTGGTATGTAATATTCTCTTCTATGTCATTGATGTATATTGCAAAGCGGGTTTACCCCAAAATGGACCTCTGTGGCATCCCCACTTAACACATTTCCCCATATAGATTCATTCTCATTTAGCCAGACCCTTTGTTTTCTGTTTTAACCATTGTTTTATCCATTCCAATATTCTCCCATTTATTCCCTGTGCCTCTAATTTCCTTGCCAGTCTCTCATGTGGTACTTTGTCAAAAGCTTTAGCCAAGTCCATGTAAGCCACATCTACTGGAAGACCATTGTCTGAGTAGCCAGTTACCATTTCCAGAAATGTGAGCAGGTTAGTAAGGCAGGATCTATTTTTAACAAACCCATGTTGCATTGGTTTTAGAAGATTGTTCTTTGCGAGATGTTGTTTGATTCCTTTTCTTAAAATTCTCTCCAAGCTTGTAGATGTAGATGTGTGATGTCACGCTGATCGGACAGTAGTTTTCTGGCAAGATCTTTCTGCTTTTAATTACACTTTCGTCTGCCGGGGACAAAGTCTGCATCCATTAATAACTTTACAGATGTCCGGTGGGGACACATGTTGCATCCAAAATTAAAATATTTTTTTAAATTCAATTTTTTTCCAGATCATTAAGGGATTAGTTTTAAAATGTGTACCTTTAGATTGCAAACAATTGGATACCAGAATTAATGACGTAGCATGAAAATTTAGGTGAGAAAACTGAACAGAGTATAGACATTTTAGTTGTGGTGTGCAGCTGGGTGCTCGCTCACGGGTAACGCTCGACCAATTTTTGGGTTTGCTGTGGATGGAATGCTGGTCTTTTTGACCTTATATGCATATATCCCTTTAGAGGATTCTATTGAACAAATCGATACCAAAATGAACGACATAGCACAAAAATTAACGCAAATTAAAATACTTGTGTCATCCATCTTGTTCCTTTCTTTTCTTTCTCATTTTTGGCACATATCTTTGTACGAGCTCGGTAATGACCTTTTTTAAATTTTCCCATGATATTTCCATGCCATGATCACCCATCAGTTCCCTCCATGAGGAGTTTTGCAATTCCTCTCTCATTCCCTGATAGTTTCCTCAATGGTAATCATAGACGATAATATTACATCATCCTGGACCTATACGAGAGTTTCTGTAATTGTATTCCATCTTAGAATATTGTGATCACACAATGGAGTGAGCTTACCCCTACTTTAATTTGATTGACCATGCCCTCTTCTGATGTTAGCACAAGGTCCAGAATGCTGTTACCTTGAATGGGCTCTACCACATGTTGTATGAGAAATGAGTCCTGCACCAGGTCGAGAAATTGATCTCCTTCTGCTTGTGGTGTCAGATTTACCCAGTCTCGTGGTTAAAATCCTCCCTTATAAGAATATGGGTTTGTGATGCAGCATTGATAAAATTTTGCAGATCTGTAATTTCCCCTGCTGTTGGTGTGTCAGCTCTGTAGCATACTCCCACTGTCATTATGTTACCATGTTGCACTAGTATATTGCACCATACAGACTCCGAGGATCCCATGGTGTTCAGTTCCTCACTGGTGGTTGCCTTTATGTCCTCCTTTACATAAAGCATTACACCTCCTGCTCTTGTTGTTTTGTCCTTTCTGAATGGTGGATGATTCCCTGGGAGGAGGAATTCCCCTTCAGTAATGTCCTCTTGTCCCCATCTTTCACTTATGCCAATGATGTCTGGAGTCTCGGCCTCAGCATATGCACACAATAATAATAATAATAATAAATGATAATAATAATAATAATATTTTATTTAGGAAAAGTACATATTTAGATGCAGAGTTACAAACATTCTGGTTGATTTATAGATAGAGCTAGTACATACAATACCTAAAGCCACTAGTACTCATAGCGTTTTGGGCCAGAAACAATGCATCAAATTTATTCACCAGGCTTCTGGCATTAGTGTAGAAGCGCTTTAAATTTCTTTCATTGTTCCTATTGGGCTGTGAGATAGCTCCTAGATTCTGTACATAATTATTTTGTTTGTTTTCACTCCGGTTTTGTGCCTGTCTGTCTTTGGAGATATATAGGGCTAGTCTGCCTGGATGGTTGGAGGACTATGTCCTCTTCTCCATCTACTATACAAAAGGCGATACACCCGCGTCAGAAAACCCAGATGTGAAGTTTGGAAGAGTAAGCTAAACCAGCAAGGTTTAGCTTACTCACCAGCCTAACCTGCTGAAAGAGGCAGAGCCGCGGAAAAACCCTCGGGTTTGGACGCCACACAATCAGCATCTTGAGATTATCTTGAGATGATTTCGGGGCATAGCATCCCCGTGGGCCGGTCCTCGACCAAACCTCCTTTTTGTTACACATCCCCAGGAAGCAGCCCATAGCAGCTGTCTAACTCCCAGGTACCTATTTACTGCTAGATAACAGGAGTATCAGGGTGAAAGAAACATTTTGCCCATTTGTTTCTGCCTCCACCGGGGATCGAACCCGGAACCTCAGGACTACGAATCCGAAGCACTGTCCACTCAACTGTCAGGCACTGAAACCAAGGCTGGGCCGGCCATCATAGGCGCAGGGAAAACTACTCTCCCTCGATAAGATTTGAGCCATGCCAGAACCCGAAGCAACAGCTGGACCGTGGGATGAAGGTACAGGAACCTCCCCCCCCCCCTCCATCTCGACCAGTACTGCCGGAAGTTGTCTACCACGAATGCCTCGCAGTCAGGGAGCAGCACCACGTATATGGGAAGGCGCTTTGACCAAGTCGACGTGAAAGGTCCACCTCCAGGCACCTAAACATCCGACAAAGTCACAGGAAGGAGGCAGCATCTACTATCCACTCCGTGGAAAGAGGAATGAAGCGAGACAGGCCATCTGCCAGGACGTTGGACACACACCCTGAATATGAACGGCATGGAGAGCTAAACCCCGAGAACTCAGCAGAAGAGCTACCCAGAGCGACCAGCCCCAAATAGCCACAAACTGCAAAGACCCTCCATGGTTGAGACAATAAACCACAAGAGAACAGTTCGAATGGAGCCGAATCACTGGGCCCCGAGGCAACTGAATCCATCACAGTGCCTGCAACACAACTGCAAACTCCAGCACCGTGCTGTGAGCTCAATGGAAGGATGGAGCCCAACATCCCTGACCGGTCTGGTGAGTGCTAGTCACAAAACCCCAACCAAGAGACGAGATGTTTTTGAACACATCAAGCGAGGGAAGGGGAAGGCACTAAGGCATCTAACCCCAAAAAATCCAAAGAGGAAGCCGGAAACACAGCAACCGACACAAGGACCCCCTAGGTCGAACCCAACGATCACGAGAGCTGCGAAAGAGATTGCCCCGAAGGACCAGGGTCAATAGAAGCCCAAGCGCTCTAAGCAGATAACCCCCCCCCCCCCCCCGAGCCCCGTGAACCCACGACACAGGCCCTGGGACAGTGCCCTCTTCCCTCTTCCATGCCCACCACCCTTGAAGACAAGGCCGCATCCAAGGGTAAAACTTCCAAGAAGGGAGTCTGCTCGGTTGATCCAGAAGCCTTGGCAGGAAAATCAGTCTCAATCACCTCTGCAGCCCCCAAAGCCACCCAAGCCTCATCTTGATCTAAACCCCGCCCCCCAACTCCGAAACCCTCAGACGTCTGGGAGCTGGAAGCAGGGAGGTAGGAGCAGGGCGAACCATGCCCACCTGAGAAGGAAGCAGGAGCATGGAAGGAACCAAGGTCGAAGCGACCAACGCCCCTAAATTCTGTTCCCCAAAACCCAAGCCGGGCAGCTCCGGGTCCTCCAACTTGGCAACCAACCCAGCCCATTGCAAGATGGATAACTGAACATGCAACACAGCCATTGCTTGATCCTGAGATCAACAGAAAAGGATTGAGTAAATTGAAGTACAAGCGGAGAACAAGTCCTGCAAGACTCCGGGTCATAGGTGTCCCCGACCCAGAGGCAAGATGACGGACGCAGTATGGATGATCATCTCCCTGAGGCAGGGGCAACGAACAACCTGAAACTTTGCACAAGGCAAGAGTGGACTTGGAAGAAGTATCCACGATATCAGCGAGCCCAAAGGGGTTTTCCAGAGCCTGCAGTGTGAATACCAGACCCCATGTTGCAGTGTCCCCAACCCCCAGGCGGCAGGTGTCCCCGATGACGAGGTAGCTGGTGTCCCCAACCCCCAGGCAGCAGGTGTCCCCAACCTCCAGGCAGCATGACGGAGGCAGGATGGATGACCATCTCCTTGTGGCAAAGGCGACAAACAACCCTCAAATTGGCCCCAGGCAAGAGTAAGCCTGGAAGAAGTACCTTGGTACGACCGAGCCCGTGGGTATTTTCCAGGGGCCCATAGAGTGTATAAGCCCTAAGAGAATCCTAGGCACTGGGGCCAGAAAAGCCAGTAAACCCTGTATAAAGCAGGCAAACTGACTGCAAGGGGCAGTCGTGAAACCTCGGGGGCAACATAGGAGGTCCATCACCTCAATTTATGCTAAGCCTAATGAGGAGCTAGGCAGACCTACACCGCCACAACAGGCAAAAATGCCAAAATGAAAAAAAAGCAAACCCCCTGAAATCACACAACAAGCAAACAAGCAGCCAGAGAGAAACATCGGCCGCCGCGTTGATAGTAAAGCAGGCTGTGCTAGCCGTACTGTGCCCACCAGCAATCAAACATGCCCCTACCTAGGGCAAGGTGGAAAGCCCAAGATCCCTGACTCGCCCCAAGGGTGAGGATTACCACAAGCGAAGCAGCCCTCTAACGGGGAGTGTTTCCCGAAAGTCCCAGGGAAGATAGCCCTGAGACACAAAGGCAGTACTTACAGAGCACCCAGGGACGGGAACCCTAGGTGCATGCTGCTCCAGCACTCGAAACTCCTGGCAAAATGCACAATTCCATTTCATAACACCACCGCAAGGACGAAACACCAAAGAAAACGGGAACACAGAGCCAGAGCGACAGCAGCCACTTTGCACGATTACATCAAAGACCTGAATGGTGGTGGCCCCCCTCCTCCCTCCCATGGGGGCAGGGAGCTAACGAGCAATGAGCAGTTAGTTGGATGAAGTTTGGCTTGTTTGTTTGCTTTCTGGGGAAGCTCTTTTGCGCTTGTAAAAATGGAGGTCGAATTTTTCAATCAAGCAGTGGTTTGTTTTGAGTCGCCTACCTTTCTGGGTGCCTTCCCTGGTCGATGGCAAGATGACATACATTAAATGTAAAGTGTTCATGGCCATTGCTCCCTTCGCCTCTCTGAAGGGGGCCCAGGTTTTGGTTCGTGGGTCCCCAGTAGGCTTACAAAGAACGTTGCAACTGATAAGACTCAAGTAGTATAGCACTTATCAGTAAGATAGCTTCAGGGAGCCGACAGGGCTCACCCAGGAAAGTGTAATTTCTGTATCACAACTGCTAATTAGTTTCTAATATAAATGATAACATGGGTCTTCAACAATTCTAGAAAAAATCGTGTGTATATACCCTTGTACGAAACCACATGTAGTGACAGTTGTAACATGAGGATGTTGGATGCGGGGATCAGCGCCAAAAAATGATCCCTGGGAGGTAGAGGCCAATGTTACTATCACCACCACCAACACCACCAGAATAATGGTACACCCTGCAAAGAAAGAAAAAGGGTGTAGTAATTATTAGTACTTTGTATATGTGACTTACATTGCCCAGATCTTGTTTGTGGCATGAGTTATATGTTACTTTACTCTTGTGTGTGTGGTAGCTGGTGCTTACTAAAGAAACATGATTGAAATCTATGACAGTCACCAAAACAAGACAAGCGAAAGCAGGAGAGAGAGACTATCATTATACACTTCCAGAAAACTTTTGATACAGTTCCTCACAAACAACAGACATACAGTACATAAAAACAAACAAACAAAATCATTAGAGGGATGGGAAGAGTGAAGGACAAAGGGAGAGAGATCATGTTCATGAAAATAGTATATACTAACATAAATGGAGTGAGAAAAAAAACAGACCTAAACAGTATAATATATGAAATCAGTTGGAGCCATGAAGAGGATTTGAACCTGCACCCTCGGTACTCCCAAGCACACACCTTAAACCACAATACACTATGAGTAATGTAACTTAGGATTCAACTGAATCATCTAGGTGTCCTGAGGTATCAGTGTTCCACACAATGCGCACACACACACTCTGGTGTGGTATGGGAGCTTCACCCCCGGTGCTAACTTTAAATGTACAAAGAAATCACCAAGCAAGTACCTGCGAAAAGATTAAACAACCCTTGGCTCACAAGTGGCATAGTCAAAGCAATCAACAAGAAACATGAATATGTAAAAAACTTAGTATTGGCCTAGTTACAAAAGTAGTAGTTAAGAGATACTTATCACCAGTAAAATAAGAAGAGCAAAACTTTCCTATTATGAGAGTAGATTCAAAGAAGCAAAAGGAAACATGAAAAGCACATGGAAAGCCATCTCTAACATCCTAGGATCTAAACAGCAATCACACAACAAGCAGATAAAACTCTCCAAGGATGGTTATACACCCACAACATATTTAAAAACAGCAAATGTATTTAAATTAATAGCTTCTTTTCATCAGTTGGTGCTAACCTTGCCCCAAAAAATCCCACAGACCCAGACACATGTTACTACATATCTCACAGGCAGCTATCCCAAACTATCTTCTTTTACCAGTCAGAAGATGAATTATGTCCATCATTCACTCACTAAAAATTAAAGCTGAGAACATTAGTGAAATACCATCCATGATATACAAGAGTGCCTCCCATGCCCTTGCACCACCCATAGCTTTACTATTCAACAAATCTCTAGTGTGTCATACATTCCCTGATAACCTTAAAAAAGCATGAGTAATGCCAGTTCATAAAGGAGGAGATACAACAGACAAACAATTACAAACCAATATAAATCTACCTATATTATATATTATAAAAAATATTTGAAAAATTATTTACAAACAGCTCTGTTCCAACCTTGTAAAATTCAACATACTAGGTCTCTGTCAGTTTGGCTTCTGCTCCCAAAAGAGCACCAATGATGCAATTATTAATCTGCTTGATATAATCTACACAGCCCTTAGCAAAAATGAGTTCCCAATTGGACTCTTCATTGACCTGAGAAAGACCTTTGATACTGTTAACCATAATTACTAATTACTTAAACTTCACCATTATGGAATCCGAAGCCTTGCCCTGAACTATATCCAATCCTATTTTAGCGACACACACCAATATGTAGCCATCAATGATGGCTACATATTGACCTCTCCATATGAATGACTTCTCCCACTCTACCATTAACCTTATTAGTGCCACAGTGCAGCATCCCAGGACCTCTCCTATTTCTTATATACTGTACATCAATGGGATGTATCTAATGTGCCTAATGTATCTAACATTCTTAAACATGCTATTTGCTGATGATACTACCTTCACCTACTCAGACCTCAACCCACAGACACTAAATAATGTTGTAAATAATGAATTAAAGTCCACTCATGGATGTCAACCAACAAACTAACACTAAACATAGAAAAGACCTAATACATTTTATTTGAAGCTAATCAACAAATGCAATTCAGTTTCAGATAGACAATGTTAACATCAGCAATAAAAAGATGGAAAGTTCCTTGGCTATACACAGACAAGAGACTCAACTTCAGCACCCACATACAACACAACCAAGAGAGTCAAAAAAAAAAAAAAAAAAAAAAAAAAAAAAAAAAAAAAAAAAAAAAAAAAAAAAAAAAGCATTAAATGTAATGAAACTCCCTTTATTGGGGTTGAGCTCCGGAGGCTCCCTGTAGCTATTGGATTGATATCTGCTATATTAGTCTAGAGCATTAATTACTGGAGTCCATATTCCTACCATATTTTTGCCCGAAACGCATTGCGTAATAGTGGCTTTAGGCATTGTATGTACTAGCTCTATCTATATATCAATCCATTAATGTAACATCACTTGTATGTATGTACCTTACCTGAAAAAACATATTTATTTATTTATTTATTTACTGGGAACCACGAGCCAGAACCTGGTTCTCTCATATTGGCGAAGGGAGTAATGGTGTATGAACACTCTACAGTACGAGAGTATAGTTATGTCTGCCATCGACCCCTGGTCGATGGCAGACATAATTGTTCACCTACCCAGTAGGGTAGGTGAACAATTGTTACAGACATAATTATTACAGACATAATTGTTCACCTATCCAGTAGGGTAGGTGAACAATTGTTACAGACATAATTGTTACAGACATAATTATTCACCTACCCAGTAGGGTAGGTGAACAATTACAGACACCAACTGGTAAAACAATGCAACCAAAGACTGAACAGAGGCTAAGAATTCCCCCCCAAGAGAAAACCCAGACTCCCCCCCCCCTTGGCCAGCGCCCAGTGCTGACACCGGCAATTTGTAGACTGATAGCAATCCTTGACAGGAGGGAGGGTGGGTGGTAGCATGCTTCCGGGGCTCAACTCAGAAGATGGTGCTTCATTATATTTAATGCTGGCTTCCTGCAGCTAAATGCCCACAGATTAGTAACAAACCAGCACTGAATATAATGAAATGCCATTTTCTGGGTGAGACCCGGAGGCTCCCCAGTTGGGGCTTGTAATGGTTCAGTAATAAAAATCACTGCTGGTTTTTATACCGGGCTGATGAGCATACATTAGACCATGACAACAGTTAATCGATAGAGTTCTAGGTTTACCGGGGACCAGCATCAGAACCTGGCCCCCCCCCCTTCAGAGAGGCACGAGGAGCAATGACCTATAGACACCCCCGTGTAATTAGAAGCAGTCTATGTCTGCCTTTACCAGGTCAGGCACTCTGAAAGGTAGAAATTCCAAAACAAACTACAGCTAGTTAAAAATTGCAAACCGAAAGCCGAACTAGCAAACGGAACTCCCCAATCAAAGTCAAGCAAACAAGCATGATGTCACCACAGCCGCTGCTGTCTGCACATCTCCCCCCCCCCCCTTCTCGGGAAGGGGAAGAGTGGGTCCCAGACCTCCTGCGCCAGCAAGCCAACCTCAGTTCAGAGGCTGAATATCAAAAACACTAAAAAACTGCCAGGAGGTTACCTTGACCTTACCTTGAGGTTACCTTGAGGTGCTTCCGGGGCTTAGCGTCCCCGCGGCCCGGTCGTCGACCAGGCCTCCTGGTTGCCGGACTGATCAACCAGGCTGTTGGACGCGGCTGCTCGCAGCCTGACGTATGAGTCACAGCCTGGTTGATCAGGTATCCTTTGGAGGTGCTTATCCAGTTCTCTCTTGAACACTGTGAGGGGTCGGCCAGTTATGCCCCTTATGTGTAGTGGAAGCGTGTTGAACAGTCTCGGACCTCTGATGTTGATAGAGTTCTCTCTCAGAGTACCAGTTGCACCTCTGTTTTTCAACGGGGGTATTCTGCACATCCTGCCATGTCTTCTGGTCTCATGTGATGTTATTTCACAAGTCACAAGTCATGTTATTTGTTAAGTCACTGCACACTCTCTCATGTGTACTATACATATACAAAACGCTAAATTGTAATGCCAATCCTGATCTCAAAAGCTTCATAGAAGGTTGTAACAGAACCCATGAGCACCACACCAGAAATAAATACAGTTTTGATATTCCTAGAGTACGACTTAATCAAACCAGAAATGCTCTACAAATCAAGGGGCCCAGGATGTGGAATGACCTTCCCAACCATGTTAAAGACAGTACCTCTCTCAACCAGTTTAAGTTAAAAACGAAGCTATACCTAATAAATTCCCTGTAACCTACCTTACCTCTCTATTGTCAACCCATGTATGTTTTTTGTTTGTTTTTTTTTTTGTTTTACAAATCAACGCTGTTTTAATGTAATTTTCTGTAATAATTTGTAATTGTATTTGTGCTGTTTTTTCAACAATGTTCCCCCCTCTTTTACCTCTATTTTTATTTGTACTCAACGCATTTTTTTCTTTTTACCCATTAGTTTTAAGCTTTAGTCAGTAGTGTTTTTTCCTGCCCGAAACGCTTTGCGTAATAGTGGCTTTAGGCATTGTATGTACTAGCTCCTATCTATAAAGCCAACAAACTTTGTAAAATCTCTTTATGTATGTACCTTTGCCTAAATAAAAATTATTATTATTATTATTATTATTATTTCTGTGTGCAGGTTTGGGACCAGCCCCTCTAATATTTTCCACGTGTAAATTATTATGTACCTCTCCCGCCTGCGCTCAAGGGAGTACAGTTTTAGGCTCTTTAGTCGGTCCCAATAGTTTAGATGTTTTACTGAGTGGATTCTAGCAGTAAAGGATCTCTGCACGCTCTCCAGGTCAGTAATTTCTCCAGCTTTGAAAGGTGCTGTCATTGTGCAGCAGTACTCTACTCTAGAGAGCACAAGCGTTTTGAAAAGTATCATCATCGGTATAGCATCTCTAGTATGAAAAGTTCTTGTTATCCAACCTGTCATTTTTCTTGCAGTTGTGACGGCTACTTTATTGTGTTCTTTAAAGGTAAGGTCTTCCGACATGAGTACACCCAGATCCTTTACATTGCCTTTTCGTTCTATGTTATGATTTGCCTGAGTTTTGTACGTGGTTTCCGTTTTTATATTTTCATTTTTTCCATAGCGCATGGAGGAAGGGATGCCGGGGAACCTCTGGGTCTCACCCAGAAAAGGGCGTTTCATTACATTCAACGCCAGTTTTCTGTGGAGAGCCCCTTCGGTTACCCGGAACTTCCTAACCAAAGATAATGGAAAAAGAGGGACTTACCCAGGAGGTGTCCGCCATTTGCTCCTCAACTTGAAGTCGAGACAACTGGCTGCAACCTGTGACCCAAGGCTACACACGTCCGAGAAGGCCCAGGAACATGAACAAAGTACCATGCAACCACGACCCTGTTCGACTTCAAAATCCCCGTGCCCCATTATCAGCCCATGATATATTACCAAAACACCAGCGTAGAATGTAACGAAACACCATTTTCTGGGCGAGACCCAGAGGCTTCCCGGAGTTATACTGGGCTGATGTGTATATATTAGACCGTGGCAACAGTCAATCGAAGGAGTTCTAAGCCTACCTAGGACCAGAGCCAGAACCTGGCGCCCCCTCAAGAGAGAGGCACGAGGAGCAATGGCCTAAAGACACCCCCCGTGTCATTGGAAACAGTCTTTGTCTGCATTCTACCAGGTTAGGCACCCAACTGGTTAAAAATTGCAAACTGAAAGCCGAACTAGCAAACAGAACTCCCCAATCAAAAACAAGGAAACAAACATGACGTCACCACAACCACCGCGCAACCTTATGCGCAACCTCCCTCCCCCCCTCCCAAGGAGGGAAACAGGGGGTGGGGTCCTAGACCTCCACACCGGCAATTCTCCTCAGTTCAGAGGCTGAGTATCAAAAGATGCGAAAAACCGCCGACCAGAGGGAGGGAGGGATGCAGGGGAGCCTCTGGGTCTCACCCAGAAAATGACGTTTTATTACATTCAACGCTGGTTTTCTGTAGAGAGCCCCTTCGGCTCCCCAAAGCTACCTAACTAAAGATAAGAAGAAAAAGGACTCACCCAGGAGGCGGTTATCACTCGCTCCTCAACCCAAAGTCGAGACAATAGACCACAACCTGTGACCCAAGGCTATACATGCCCGAGAAGGACTAGGAACATTTACAAGGGAACATGCAGCCAGGACCCTGTTCGCCCTCCAATAGCCCCGTGCCCAAAAGATAGGCCAGGACATTACCAAAACAGCAGTCGAATGCCGAACTTACGAACGGTGTGGGAAAGACCGCAGGCTGGCTGGACCGAATAATCCTGCGAACAACCTGGGATACCCACGCCCTGGAATAGGAAAGAAGGGGAAACTGGGTCAACTCAAAGATCACCCTCTGCCACAGAGGCCGTAACACGCAAATAACGGAGAAGAACCCCAAAGAGATACAAAACATGATGCACCCTTGGCCGAACCAACCAGGCATCAACAACCCAAGAACCCCTTCGGAAAGCAGCAGACTCATTCTTCGCCAGAAAAAAGGAGTCGGCTACAAACTAAGAAAAGATCACCAGGACCGAAAGTGTAGAAACCCCTGTGCCGGAGAAGAGCATGGAACTCTCCGACCCGACCCCCAGAGGCCAATGCCAACAAGAAAAAGAGCCGTAGAAAAACAGTCCTGAACCGAGGGGGCCACCCCAAACTGAGAAGAGAGAAGAGAGCACCTGGTGCAACGACCAGGACAGCTCAGGCGGAGCATGAGCAGGCCAGAGGTGAAAACAACACTCGAGAAGCTTGCAGAACAGAGCAGAAATGACATCCACCCCAAGTACAAGCTGCAGCAGCTCCACCAGCGCCACCTGAAATGAAGCGACAGTATCTGGCACAAGAAGACGGTTCTGAGACAACCAAGAGAGAAAGGAAAAACAACCCAACCAGAAATCGAAGACAACCAATGAAGAGACAAGTGCCGAAATTTCACTTGAACACCATACAAGTGGTGATAAACTCGCATCAAAAAGATCAGACGTGAAGAGCAGAGGAGAAAATCGAACCAGCCACGTACCAGACTGGTACGAATGCCACCCCGCCACAAACTCCCACGCTGCAAACTACAGCGGTCAAGTAGGTACAAGTAGGTCCTTGTACAGTACAGGACCTACAGGTTGCATTTCCAACTCTTGATCGTCGTCTCCAGGACAATTTAGCTCTAGCAGTGATTTCCTCGTTGCCCTAACTACCTGCCTACATTACCTCCTTGGTCATGGTGCCCGAGCCTATCCGCCCCGGCTCCAATTGCTCCACCAGAGACCCAAGGACGCAACAATCATGCATATTCTACACCGAGCTTGTCCACACACACTGCCTGCATGTTTCGGTACCGGACTACATGCTCTACAATGACCCAGGGAACAGTAGCTTCGCATTTTTTGTTGTATTGCTTTTCTTTCATTCCCTGGCAGGGGAAGTTCTGTAGCAAGTAGAAACAATATACTCACTACAGCCTTTCATTAGCTTAATGGCGTGACTAATTAGCACTAATTACAGGAGCTATAATCCTTTCCCTAATTACAGGTAACATTCTTTCCATCCTGGCTGGAGAAAGCTGAGGTGTAGTCACCGAATACAAGCAAGCAAAAAGTGAATAGCCGACAGTACAATTTCCACAGTGAGTCAGATAATTCCAATACAGACGCTTTGGATTTATCTCACGTCTTCTCTTCTCTTCTCTTCGCAAGAATGTAGTACTCGGCGTGTATAGTCCTAATCGACCCCAAGATGCTACAAACACAGAGCAGTCAGTAGACTACAACCACATCGAGCTACAAAGCCCCCCCCCCCTGCTCCTCATCGAGTTTAGACACTCTCAATTCCCAGTCGAGCCGCCACGCTCTCCCGCGTAGAGCTCCGCGATTCTGGCTCTCACTCAGCTCTCTGCTCTGCTCCAAGCTCCGCTGAACCTCTATGACAATGCCAACGACCGACTACTGTAACCAAGACTACTAAATAAATATGAAACTCACTAAACACTGTATCTAATCTACCCAACAAAGTAACATAATCGTACGTTACATTCTCTGTTAACCCAATGTACCTTCTTATATATAAATAAATAAGTAAATAAATAAATAAATAAATTGTAAGGCTTTGGGTTGTTTCGATCCCAGCAGTTGTCTGTTATTGTTCAATGACTTTCTGGATGCCTTCTCCGGTGAGCTGACACAGTGTTATCATCTCTCTGTGCCTCTCTGAGGGTACCATGTTCTGGCACCTGGTAGGCCTAAGAACTACACAGCTGATGCGACCAAGTAGTTGGGTGCCATCTCAGCTTCAGGAAGCCACTGGGGGCTCACCCAAAAATTATCATTTCATTGTACTCAACACTGGTTTTTAAAGCCACTGTCCTGAATTATGAAGATTTCACTCTTTACTGGCGCTAACAATAATGTAATCAACCACAATATTTTATTTCAATTAATATTTCTAACCTACGATGATTTTAGTGAAGACTACAGAGGAAAAACGTCACCAACCTATGACGACCTTAGTGGAGGCTATAGATGAGAGAATGCGGCTGAAGACGCTACGGGCTCGGCTTTTGGATGGAGGCTGGGGCTGGTCAAGTCTGGGATCCCTCACAACTGACACGCTGGGATCAAACAGATCTAGGTAGCGAGGCTCTCTAAAAGTCACATCCCGGATCTGCCGAATGGGAGAGCTGTTTATCAGCCGTTGGTGTATACAGTCACCATCATCACTCTGAGCGCATACCTGATAAAATATAATTGTGCCACATGGACAAATACAAATTAAATTAAGTAAGTACACTATATTATTCATTGAATTTACTGTATGTTTAAAAATCCTAATTTAGTTTATCAGAAAACCCATCTCCACCATTTAGGAGGATATACTGTAATGTGCAAAGTTCTTCAATACCTGCAAGTGACTTACTAGCCAGTATTCTGTACATTATTACATCACATACACAAACATTCAGGTAATATGCAGATGCTAGTGGCTTCATTACCTACCTACACACAACACATTCCCAGGGTTATGAGAGTCGTATCCCAACTTTTATGAATGAATGTGAAAGCAATGTGATAAAACCTTAAGATTTGTATAGACTTTTGATTATAGATGTAATGTGCATTTCTGGGCAGACTTGTGTGGTTGAAACCCCAAGGTACAATTCTGCTATATATAATGGAACATCTTGTCATGCAAGGCGTCACTCTAGGTACCGGCACTGCAGGGAACATTGCAAACCTATCAGCAGTGTCATATTGGGTCTAGGGACCACTGCAGATCATCTAGCTAAGTCAGCTGGTGCTGGTGATAGGTAAACAAAAAATAGTCCAAGTACTCAGTCTTTACAATTATCTCTTGGCTTGTGTCAGATTGCCCAGGAGCGCCCAAACTACTGGCTGGCTTCTTCAACCACCTAACCCTCTGCAGGAGTGCATCTAGTGGGAGAATAAGCCAGTGATTTTTATTCCTTGAGTAAATTTGTCAAAAGTACCAGCTTATCAACAATTTTATTCAATTCTTTAGTTCACATGCCTTACTCTCACCAGGCAGTACTCCTGCACAACTTGCCCAACTGTCACCAGGCAGTACTCCTGCACAACTTGCCCAACTCTCACCAGGCAGTACTCCTGCACAACTTGCCCAACTCTCACCAGGCAGTACTCCTGCACAACTTGCCCAGCTCTCACCAGGCAGTACTCCTGCACAACTGCCCAACTCTCAACAGGCAGTACTCCTGCACAACTTGCCCTACACCAGTACTCCGGTGTGTTACGACCCTGGGTTCTTAGCCCACGCCTTAATTGGCACTACAAATGAACCAGGTTCTTCACGCCTCTGTTCACATATTAACAGGGACCATTCACTAAGTATTTGTTGTGATAGGCCTTGACTGTTTGGGATTATGTGTGGGTTTTAATTAAGTAAATTATAGAACATTAATTGACAGGTTGGGTTATGTAGGAGGGAATTTAGCTAAGTATTATACTTATGTTTTTTAAGTCCTTAAGTGCTCAACTTGGTTGATGGTTCCACTTCCCTGCCAGATGTAGGAATAACCTTGTTTCTCACAGAGCTGGTATACTCTATGTTAACTGAATATTAGTATACTGTAAAGCTAGATGTTAGTTACACTTAGAACTGATTAGTAGCAAGTTAAGGGTTGTATTGGAAGACTAGTAATTGTTACTGTATGATCAGTTCTATACTTCAGGCAGCAGCCACATGTATGGGAGGTCTTCTGTTCTGAAGCTTGGCGCTGGCTGCCTGTGGATCTGGAGTGGCGGGTTTTACCCTCTCCCCCTCTTTCCTATTCTTAAGGTATTTATTTATGTCCTCTAAGTCAGTGTTCTGAGCTCCAAGTGTTACCCTCTGGGGGGGTTTGGGGTGACCACGAGTGTGTGTTGTTAAGTTATCAAGTGTTGTGTTCTGCCCTTAAGGAAAGTAGACCTTAACCCTGGAATTGCTGTTTGTAACCCTCGTCTCCTGCCTATTCAGGGGAAATAACGTAAGATCGAGGTGGTAAGGTATTTATTGTACTGGGGGGGGGTTAGGGTTAATAAATTGTATGTTTAAGATTTCACCGGAGTATTCTCCTTACCTTGTTGTAGTGGGGTGGTTAATCTCTCAAGATTGCAGATTATTTACAGTGATTAATACTTTCTGGAAATAGTTTTTCCCTGGGGGCCGGGCCTTACCTAACCCCAGTGAATTGGAACTCCATCCTCTTAAGCAGTGACCCTCAGAGCAAACATTCGTTCTTCTAACACTGCACAACTTGCCCTACTTTCACCTGGCTTTACTCATGAGTACTCAACATTCATTAGTAACTTGGCTTACTGTCACTTGCAGTACTCCTGTATAATGTGTCATACTCTCACCTGGCAGTACTCCTGTATAATGTGTCCTACTCTCACCTCTTGTATACCCGATTTTTACCCGAGGGTCACTAGCATTAGTGGCCTCGACGAGGACAGGAAGCCGGCGTCTTGTCGAAGTTCCTGCCCATTTGTCTGTCTTTTCCAAATAGATTTTAAATCTTAACAGTTTTGACATTTACGGCTTCGGCAGGTAAGCGATTCCCTGGGTTTATAACCCTGTGGGTGAAACAGCATCCCCTGTTCTCAGTCCTATACTGTGGCTTGTTGCACCTGAAACCGTTGCTCCTTGTTTGTGCTGCATCTCAACTTTTGAAGAAATTGTCAGGATCATCATCATCCAACTTGTTCAATATTTTAAAAAGTTTCAATGAGATCCGCCCTGTAATGCCTGGTTTCCAGTGTTATTAGGCCTGTGGCCTCAACCGTTCCTGATACAAGAGATGACTTAGCTCTGGAATGACTTTTGTTGTCCGGTATTGCACTTTCTCCAGAGCAGCTATGTCCTTCTGAAAGTGAGCCCTCCATGCCTGGATACAGTAATACAAGTGGAGGCGCACCAGAAATGTATACAGTTGAATCTCTACCATCTTTTCCTTAAAGTCAAAGGTACGCTTGATTATCCAGAGGGTTTGATTAGCTTTTCTGACTACTGCTCCTACCTGTTGAAATTTGCCTTACTCTCACCTTATAATGTTCCTGTATAATTTGCCAACTCGCCATGCAGTACTCCTGCACAACATGCCCAACTCTCACCAGGAGGGAGATACACGCTGGTGGCCCAACCACTATAGGTATTTCCTTGCAATGATACTGTATGGTGTTCTACGTTGTTCCTTAGCATACATTGGCGTCGCGCAGGGGTTCGGTTCTCAGGCAGCTGGCAGTTGATGGTAGATGTTTATGTTTCTCAGGTCCTCTTTTGACGGTCTTCTGGCTTCAGTGCTCTTCTTACTTCTTTCTTCTGATGTTTTCCCTTGAGTTTGGATCGACGACTTTCTTGGTCTTCATGGTGGTCTTACTTCTCGTAGATATAGCAGCGTTGTTGATCAAGGTCGTGGGTGTGACGATGCACGCGGGATGGCATCAGAAGTCGAGGCAGCAGAGCGCCTCAAGTCTTCTATTTTCTGTATTTCCTCCTGTCGACATGGACAGCAATAGGAGATGGTCACATGGTCACCATTGCAGACGAGGCAGCGTTGGGTTGTGGTCTTGCAGAAAGGGTAGTGGTTGTCTTCCATGCAGATGCTGCACTTGGAGACACGTTCTGTGCAATCCTTGGTAAGATGCATGTACTAGTAACACTTTAAGCATTGTTGTAGGTTATAGTAGCGTTCCATCTTCATTCGATAGTGTGGGATCTTTATGCCAAAGCTGTAGATTCCTTGAGTGGTGGCTTGGGTAGCTGCCGCTAATGTGGTGAACGTGATCTTCAGGGTTTGGCGCTTGCCATCGGGTCTTCCGATGAGGGTCCCATCGCATGGTCTCGTGTTTTGGTTTACCTCCCATATGTTGACGATGATATTCCCCATATCCTTATCTGTGAGCCATTTGCTAGTTTCGCTGACGAAGACGTTCGTGCGGCAAGGAATTAACATGGGAAGTTGGTCCGGAAATTTGTTGCATAAATGCGATTGTTGTGTTGCAGTAATCATTCTAGGTCCGTCTCGCTCTCAAAGTAAAGGGTAAGATCCTCTCCTTATTGGCTCACAACGATGAGGATGTCCCTCTGCGATGTCTTTGATGATCCTCAGGTCGGTCAGTCTTGTTGAATGGCTGGTTGTTAAGAGGGGTAGCCATGACTGAGGCATTTGTGGCCCATTGTATCCACCCCCTCAACAGGTCGCAGTGGTGGTGCTGGATGTCTTGCAGAATGGCTCAAGCTTGCTGGTGCTCTACCAGACTATGCACATTACGTAAGGAGGTCCCCCTGTCTTCTCCCCGTGCATGTACAGGATGAGAGTGGGGAAGACCTAAGTAGTGCATCTTGCCGGCTATCACACGGTGTGGCTGTGGGAGCGGACACGTCCCTTCCTGTGGCGAGCATGCAGAAGAGTCCCTCTGGCAGTACTCCTGTGTAACTTGCCCTACTCTCACCTGACAGTACTCCTGTGTAACTTGCCCTACTCTCACCTGACAGTACTCCTGTGTAACTTGCCCTACTCTCACCTGACAGTACTCCTGTGTAACTTGCCTTACTCTCACCTGGCAGTACTCCTGTGTAACTTGCCCTACTCTCACCTGGCAGTACTCCTGTGTAACTTGCCTTACTCTCACCTGGCAGTACTCCTGTGTAACTTGCCCTACTCTCACCTGGCAGTACTCCTGTGTAACTTGCCCTACTCTCACCTGGCAGTACTCCTGTGTAACTTGCCCTACTCTCACCTGGCAGTACTCCTGTGTAATTTAAATAAGTTTATTGAAGTATAAACACACACAAAGGGATGAGGAAGCTCAATCTATTCTCACCCAGTCCAGTAAATGTGTTTATATATGTTAACTTGGGCTACTCTCACCTCAGGTTCGTCATATGGGGAAGGGGTGGCCTCAAAGTCCTTGATAGGGTCGGTGCTGGTGGACTCTCGCATGGGGTCCTTGAGTGTGGGTGGTGGGTCCTTGAAGGCCTCCTCGGCGACGGTGACGCCTCCTCCAGCGTCCCCGGGGGCCGTGCTCGCCACCCGCCCTCCTCCACGCTGCACCAACAATACACACCATTATAAACAACACACACACACACATCCATCCTCAAACCTCACGTCTCAAACTGCTCACTCAGTATTATGATTGTAGGTTCCCATGAAGAAAACTGAATTTTTCTGAATATACCTAAGGACCCCTATTTCTCTACTGGCCTCGGCTTGTCAAACGTTAGTGTTAAAACATTTCAACATAATTTGTTTTATTATATGGTAAAAATATTAATCTAATATTTATCCATAAAATAGGTGAAATAGCAACCAGGAGGCTTGGTCGAGGACCGGGCCGCAGGGACGTTGAGCCCCGATACCATGGCCAGGTATTAAGTGCGCCAACATACATGGGTAGTTGGTGACACCCGTGGCTCCGCGTCCCTCGGCGCACATTGTTTCAAGTCTTGAAGGCTAACAATAATAATAACACTAATTTACCTGAATTTACCCGAGCGCCACAAACACATTAGTGGCCTCGGTGAGAACTGGAAGCCGGCGGCTTGTCAGAGGTCCCGCTATTTGTCCTGACGATTTTTTCAAACTGGATTATAAAATTCAACAGTTTTGTCATTTACGTTTTCGGCGGGTAGGCGGTTCCATGGGTTTATACCCCTATGGGTACAAAAGCATCTCCTGCTTTCAGTCCTACATTGTGGCTCGTTGAGGTTGAAACCGTTAATTGCTTTTTTTTTTTTTTGAGATATATAGAAGAGTTGTTACATTCTTGTAGAGCCACTAGTACGCGTAGCGTTTCGGGCAGGTCCCTGGAATACGATCCCCGCCGCGAAGAATCGTTTTTTCATCCAAGTACACGTTTTACTGTTGAGTTAAACAGAGGCTACAGTTAAGGAATTGCGCCCAGTAATCCCCGGCCAGGATACGAACCCATGACATAGCGCTCTTGTTTGTAACCCATGACATAGCGCTCTCCTTGTTTGTGATGGGGTGAGGGGGCATACATGTAGAGAGAGGTAGAGGGGAAGTGGAGTATTTAGGGGGGGGGGGCAGGTGGGGTTGAATGTCTAAAGGGTGGGGGTTTGAGCAGATGGGATAGGGTGCAGAGAGGAGGGGGAGTAAAGGGCAGAAGAATGTTAAATGTATGGGTGTACCCACAGGTATACTGTGTTCTGCAATTTATGAGCCAGATCAGCCTTAAGGACCCTACTTGCTACAGCCCATTTCCAGTATCAAAGTCACAAAGGAGTGGACTTACAATCCAGCACAGGAACCTTGCATGCAGCTAACAGCTTAATTATGTTGTACTTTATTAACAAATTCAATAATTATTTAATTATAAATTGATGGTTCTAGTAAGCACATTTTTGTCCTATGTAATTCACCTCATCTTGAGGTTATCTTGAGTTGATTTCGGGGCTTTTAGTGTCCCCGCGGCCCGGTCCTCGACCAGGCCTCCACCCCCAGGAAGCAGCCCGTGACAGCTGACCAACTCCCAGGTACCTATTTACTGCAAGGTAAATAGGTACGTAATTTACTCCCAGGGTGAAAGAAACTTTGCCCATTTGTTTCTGCCTCGTGCGGGAATCGAACCCGCGCCACAGAATTACGAGTCCTGCGCGCTATCCACCAGGCTACGAGGCCCCAAGCTACGACGAGCAAACACCATAACCAAATAATAATGGAACACAAATATAACATAAGAACAGGTCAAGAGTCTAAAATGTAAATTTAATTGTTGATTTTATTTTGTCTTCAACAGGCGTTGTGATACACGATGCCGGAAATCCCAACACCATTTATTACCCTTTAGCTTAAGATGCAAGCTGCACTTTTATGTTCAATAAACATAATAAAATACCTTAGTTAACCCTACTAAGAAATTGTTGCATGACAAATTTGTTTTAAAAATGAGAATTACAAGGCACATGCGTTGCTGAGCCTGGGTACGGCTGGGTAGTTGCTGAGCCTGGGTACGGCTGGGTAGTTGCTGAGCCTGGGTACGGCTGGGTAGTTGCTGAGCCTGGGTACGGCTGGGTAGTTGCTGAGCCTGGGTACGGCTGGGTAGTTGCTGAGCCTGGGTACGGCTGGGTAGTTGCTGAGCCTGGGTACGGCTGGGTAGTTGCTGAGCCTGGGTACGGCTGGGTAGTTGCTGAGCCTGGGTACGGCTGGGTAGTTGCTGAGCCTGGGTACGGCTGGGTAGTTGCTGAGCCTGGGTACGGCTGGGTAGTTGCTGAGCCTGGGTACGGCTGGGTAGTTGCTGAGCCTGGGTACGGCTGGGTAGTTGCTGAGCCTGGGTACGGCTGGGTAGTTGCTGAGCCTGGGTACGGCTGGGTAGTTGCTGAGCCTGGGTACGGCTGGGTAGTTGTTGAGCCTGGGTACGGCTGGGTAGTTGCTGAGCCTGGGTACGGCTGGGTAGTTGCTGAGCCTGGGTACGGCTGGGTAGTTGCTGAGCCTGGGTACCCAGCAGAACCCGGGTACTGCTAGTAATTAATAAATTAACAGTTCAAATAAATACAAAGAAATTCTTCCCTGGTAGACCCCCCCCCCACATGAAGCCTGGAGTGGGACGTTACCTGAGCGATGTCAAACTTTCTCCTGAAGAAGGCGGGTATCCTCCAGGGTGAGGCGGGGCGCTGTTGGGGCGGCGGGTGGTGGTCGCCCCGCGGGGCCGCCCCCGCCCGGCTGCTCCAGCTGCGTGACACATACCTTCCCACCACCGGCACCCCGGACATTCTGTAAGGTTAATCATCTCTTAGTTCTGTGTCCGCCATGCTGCTCTCCCCAGCATATGTTGCCGGTGTCCTGCACACCCCAGCATATGTTGCCGGTGTCCTGCACACCCCAGCATATGTTGCCGGTGTCCTGCTCACCCCAGCAAATGTTGCCGGTGTTCTGCACACCCCAGCATATGTTGCCGGTGTCCTGCTCACCCCAGCATATGTTGCCGGTGTTCTGCACACCCCAGCATATGTTGCCGGTGTCCTGCTCACCCCAGCATATGTTGCCGGTGTCCTGCTCACCCCAGCATATGTTGCCGGTGTCCTGCTCACCCCAGCATATGTTGCCGGTGTCCTGCTCACCCCAGCATATGTTGCCGGTGTCCTGCTCACCCCAGCATATGTTGCCGGTGTCCTGCACACCCCAGCATATGTTGCCGGTGTTCTGCACACCCCAGCATATGTTGCCGGTGTTCTGCACACCCCAGCATATGTTGCCGGTGTTCTGCACACCCCAGCATATGTTGCCGGTGTTCTGCACACCCCAGCATATGTTGCCGGTGTTCTGCACACCCCAGCATATGTTGCCGGTGTTCTGCACACCCCAGCATATGTAGCCGGTGTTCTGCACACCCCAGCATATGTAGCCGGTGTTCTGCACACCCCAGCATATGTAGCCGGTGTCCTGCTCACCCCAGCATATGTTGCAAGCTTACTACACAGGTCAACCTATTAATCTGATCAATTCTATATCTTATAAATATATTATTATTATTATTATTACTACTACAAAAAGCAAAATATTTGGTGACCGTTGTGAGGAGGTGATGAGGGCCTCGCCTCACCCGTCCCCTCGTTACGACTCTACGGCCAGTTTATTATTATTAACATCTTTATTGACAAAATTAATTACAATTTTGCCTAATCTGAGGATTTTGATAGTCTTATTAAAGTGAGGATAATGCTGGTATTACTGTCACGCAGGACAGAGGGTCATACATAAGACAATAGGTCTAAACTGTAGGCTGGAGCACATATATATCATGGTTACAATCAATGTTTTAATGTATGGATATGTGAAAACAACTTTCTATTGTGCACTGCCACACAAGGGCAGGGATGGGTTCATAAGAGATGCAGGTTAGAACTGGTTGATACCTGGTTGATATAAATATAAATAACTAATATAAATATAAATAAAAATTGTTCTTCATTCTTTAAAATGGACAAGCAAATTTTGGGTAAATTGTTAGGATGTCGTCCAGAACACCCGAGTCAATAAAATAGTTACACAGTTGGTGGTACAAGAGGCCAGGACGTCTAAAATCCTTTACGGCTTCACATTCATCAATATAGTGTTCTAGTGAATGCATTAAAGGTTTATCACAGAGTTTACAATCTGAATATTCTGGTAGTGGCTCAGCCTCACTAACCTGCCAGATGTGTCTATAGCCAAGGCGAATTCGCGCAATGACTACATCACATTGCCTGGTCCGGTTACTGTGCTGACCATACTAATACCTATTATTACAAAACTTGTCATAACTACGGCCAGTATTACACTGTGACAATGGTCCAGGAGCGTATTACAATTGTTTACATAGGAAATGGGGACCCTTCACTCATTTATGTATTTTAGTGTAATAGGCCTTGAATGTGGAGAGATAATTTGGTGAAAAGGTTTTAATAAATATATTATTATATTATAGGGCTAGTCAGTTAGGTTTGGTTAAAGGAGGAGTGTTATTGTCTGTTGACCTGTGTCAACAACATAGCCCTCAAGTCGACTATTTCCTAAACAGTATGAACTCCTTTACGCTAATCCCCACAATCACCAGGCCCACCTGATTCACTCAAACATCTGCGACTACCTTAGATCACTTATGGACCAACATAACAGCTCTCCTTACATCAGGTATAATCACTGACAGAACAACTGACCACTATCCTACCTTCCTCGTAGCGGACATGGCCATAACACCACCAGCTAACAAGAAACTTACCTTTAGGTTACACAGTGAAGCAGCAATAGGCAATCTCACAAATGCCCTCCACAATATAAACTGGGAATCTGAATTTAATAATACACAGGATATAAATTCATTAATTAACCACTTCCTTCCCAAAATACTAAGCCTTTACAATACTTATTGTCCTCTCCTCACCAAGCAAGTAACTGGCAACAGGTTAAATAATCCCGGGCTCACTAATGGCATACTCAAAGCCATCGACAAGAAACATGAATATGAAAAAACTTAGGATTGTCCTAGTTGCAAAGGAAGTAGTTAAGAGGTACTCGTCAGTGCTTACCAGTATAAGAAAAGCAATGTAAGATGTATATGTAAGAAAGAATGTAATGTAAGAACATTATAATGTATATAATATAAGTATAATAAAGAATATAATGTAAGTAATGCAATGTAAGAATTATATATTATATATTATATATATATTATATATATATATATATATATTATATATATATATACAAGTAAATCACGAAAAAAAGTGATGAAAAATATGACTGTCAGACACGAAAGAAGGATTGAATCAGGAATTTCCTTAAGTACTTTCGTATTTAATAATACATTTTCAGAATGATCCTTCTGAAAATGTAACCAGCAGCCTCGTTGTCCACCTGTGGCCAGCTGCCTGTGGCCTGCGACCCCGGACCTGCCATGGGAGGGGCAAGATCTCCCACCTTAAGCTGATGGGAGAGTGGAGGAGAGAGTGGGACTGAAGGTTGTGGTGTGTGGATGCCTCAACCCAGGCACACCACAGGGACCAAAGAGCTAAAGCTCATCCCCCAAACGACAAGTAGGTGAGTACAAGAAGGTAGCACGTGGAGGCGGGAGACGACGCGTCGCCGGTGATGTTAGTGTAGTGGACGACTCCCCGGGGGATAGCCCGCCCTTCACCCACCCCAAACACACAACACCAAATCCATTTATACCAATGTTTCGTCAGCGTCGCCTCTCCCAGTCACGGAGGAGCTCCACGCTCTCCCTCCTCTCACAGGTACAGTTACTACTGCCTAATGCGTAGCAATATTAACTGCTTACTTCCAGTCCTCTAGGTCACAGTTGTGGCGCCTGCACCACTGTGGTTCACCTCTAGGACACAGTTGTGGCGCCTGCACCACTGTGGTTCACCTCTAGGACACAGTTGTGGCGCCTGCACCACTGTGGTTCACCTCTAGGACACAGTTGTGGCGCCTGCACCACTGTGGTTCACCTCTAGGACACAGTTATGGCGCCTGCACCACTGTGGTTCACCTCTAGAAAACTAGACTTTTTTCTCCAAGGAGTGCGGGACCAACCAGGCTGTGGTGGGTATGTGGGCCTGCGGGCCGCTCCAAGCAACAGCCTGGTGGACCAAACTCTCACAAGTCAAGCCTGGCCTCGGGCCGGGCTTGGGGAGTAGAAGAACTCCCAGAACCCCATCAAGCAGGAGTCACGTGTAAGAGAGGTGAAGTCTTAAGTAACTGATAAGAGAGAAGACGTGTAACACGTGTGCTTGTATTGTGTCAGAGTGGTGTCAACGTGAAGTCTTTACGGAAGTGATTGTCAACCAAGCAGTGAAGCATCCTCAGTGCCAGTCAACTGTGAAGTACCCCAGGGACAGTGTGAGGACAGCTGGAGATAGTGAATCGAGTGACGGTTTGCTATATGCGGGGTCGAGTAGAGGTGAGGGAGCTTTCAGCACGGTACTAGATTTGTGTGGGAAAATTGGTCTCTTCACATGTGGCGCTCAACATGGGGCCAGAGCGCGTCTGTCAGCGACGCTCTGTGTCCAGCTCCACACCAAGAGCTGATGCAGGAGCCTCCATTAGGATAGTTATATTATAAGGCAACAGGCTTAAGGAGGCCAGTAGGCTGGCCAGCCCTCACTTCAACAGTCAATGACGCGTAAGCGCCAGGTGACCCCCGCCCGACACACTGCTATACCTGCTGGATGACGTTCTGGGAGTTCTTCTACTCCCAAGGCCCCGGCTTGACTTGTGAGAGTTTGGTCCACCAGGTCAATTTTTACCGTACCTGAGTACCTGGAATTTATCACTGTTAAACATCATGTTATTTTCTGCTGCCCAGTCGAAAACTTGGTTAATATCTGCTTGTAGTTTTTTAATGCCTTCAGCAGAGGTAATTTTGGATGACACGAAGCTGTGACTTGTTTTGTCTATATCTGACATGAAAATAAGGAAAAACAGTGGTGCAAGGACTGTACCTTGAAGTACAGAGCTTTTAAGTGGGCTTGGATTCCATTTTATACGGTTGACTGTCACTTTTTGCGTTGTGTTCGACAGAAAACCGAGTATCCAGCGTCCAACTTTACCAGTTATACCCATTAACCTCATCTTGTGTGTTATCACTCCATGGTCACACATATCGCATGCCTCTACGAAGTCCGTGTATACCACATCTGCATTCTGCTTTTTTTCTAATGCCTCAGAGATTTGTGGTAGTGGTCAAGTAGCTGTGAGAGGCATGATCTTCCCGCGCTAAATCTGGCCGCTCTTCCCGCCCAGTTACAAGCTGGGCCCGCGGGAACCCCATTAAAGGTGACCACTACACCAACAATAACCAGGCAACGGGCCCGGCCTGCTCCCCGCCCTCACCCTGGCCTGCTGCCCGCCCTCACCCTGGCCTGCTCCCCGCCCTCACCCCTGGCCTGCTGCCCGCCCTCACCCTGGCCTGCTCCCCGCCCTCACCCTGGCCTGCTCCCCGCCCTCACCCCTGGCCTGCTGCCCGCCCTCACCCTGGCCTGCTCCCCGCCCTCACCCCTGGCCTGCTGCCCGCCCTCACCCTGGCCTGCTCCCCGCCCTCACCCTGGCCTGCTCCCCGCCCTCACCCTGGCCTGCTGCCCGCCCTCACCCTGGCCTGCTCCCCGCCCTCACCCCTGGCCTGCTGCCCGCCCTCACCCTGGCCTGCTCCCCGCCCTCACCCCTGGCCTGCTGCCCGCCCTCACCCCGGCCTGCTCCCCGCCCTCACCCCTGGCCTGCTGCCCGCCCTCACC